CTACTTCTTGAGCATGATTTTTCCAATGGATTATAAATCCACAATGTTATAAGTCCACCGATAACTCTCTTCCTTAGTTTGCTTATAAAGATTGCCATGTGGAACGGTGTCAAAATCCCAATGAAAAACCAAGATGTATTATACCTACTGATTCCTCCATTCACTAGGCCAGTTTCTCCTATTATCTTTAAGTGCTTTAAAAATATTAGTACATTAAGCACAAGGTATTTAAATATTATTCCCATATGTATTATGGGAAAACTGAGGCAGAGAGGAGCTACTTGATCTACCCATGGTCTTGCAGTCAGATTGACTGAGCCAGAAATACAACCCAAATCTACTAACTAAAACACCATCTTTCCCTTATCTGTCACTTTTCCCAGTGTCACTTCTTCAACATCTGATTTCCAGCAGTGTTTCATTTTTGTTCAACTATTTCAACCTGTCCTCTTTTTTAATAAGGCCTTTCCAAATTGCCCACTCCCCTTTTATTCCTCCCTTTCTGAAACTACACGTGACAGTGAATCTCCTTTGAGAGCCTGTCAACATAAACTATTAGCAAAACACCATATTTAATCCCTATCAACACCTCCTTCTGTCTGTCCTGGTCATGTTCTCCATTAAATTTGCTCCCCCTGTTTCACAGAATCTGCTATATAGAATTCTGCATATAATGCTTCAGGATGAGAAGCAAATTCAAAAAGTGAAGGGTCATATTAGTTTCACTTTATTACTACTTGCTGGAAAAATGCAACATGCAGCAACATAGACCTGCAGTATTCTCATGAAAAGACAATTTCAGAATGTTGAGGGAGGGAAGGGAAGTCACAGGCTTCCTGCTATTACGTGCCAAATTTAAATCCTTACTACATCACAAGGGGCCCCATTGTTGGCAGTCTTGTGGAGGCACAAAAGATTTGGTGGGGATGGTGTCTGAATTTATCCTTAAAGGTGGGATTCTCTTAGACAAAGATGAGGCACAGTGGAAAGGCAGCATAGGGAAGCCTGGACTCCCAAAACTCATGCTGTAACTACTTACTGAGTAGATGTGACAATCTACAGTGTTACCAATTCAATACCTTCTACAGGAGTTGAAAGCACACACTAATACCAAGCACTTCTGAAAATCTCATCCTAATTCTATTATAGGCCATGTTCTGCTTCCTCAATATCACAAACGCTGTTCACCCATACCACAATGCATTACTTTCTGCCTTTTTTGAGGATAGAGGATTGGAGGGAAGACATTTTTTCTGTTCACCACCAGACTATAATTTATGAAACTGGATTTTATTTTTGAAGCAGCCTTTGCTGTTGTTACCCAGCTAAAACATGTAACCAACCTCAAATTTACCTCAAGTTAACAATTAAACATTTTAATTACTTGGAACACCCTCACAGTTCCTCAAAAAAACTAATTAGCTAACACAACCAAGAATTTGAATCCTAGTTAAATACAACATACAGGAGTCAAGGCCAAGTTTAGCTAAATGCACAACTATCTTTTTATATAGAATAATGGTTTTCAATTTTTTTTTATTTGCAGAATCCTAACACATTACAAGGGTCGGACCCCTTTGGAAATCTTCATTATAGTCTGTCGTCTCCCTGGAATCCTTAGAGCACCAGTTGAAAAAAATCACAAATATAAGTATGATAGCTTACTGCAGCAATTTTGAAACACAGAATGTTTAATTAGCAGACATTAAAAATATCTGCTCAACAAAGAAAAAACATGTGCCACTATGATATCTACTTCATTTTTTGAAAGACATACTTTCTTTCTGCTTGTAACACACGTGATCACAGAGTTAATCAAATCAAGGTCATGCAAGTTTTTAGTAGTACTAGCTAGGAATGCAAGCGACTAGTCGCCTACACGATAAGCATACGCTTATCGAGTAGTCAAGCAGTGATTCGACTAGTCACTTCTCCCCCATCTTGCTGCCTCTATAAAAGAGAGGCAGCAGGGGTGGGGGAGCAAAAGTCGGTGCTGGGAGGAGCCGGCTTAAAAGCTGGTTTCCCCCAGTACCATCTCCACGGGGGGACTGGGGAGGCAGAGGCATAGTGGGGCACTGGGCAGCTCTTAACACATTTAAAGGCAGAGATGCAGCAGCCTGCTCCAGCTCTACCGTTTTCCCCCTTATCAACGAACCAAGTAGTGGATGGAAATTCCATCGACCACTCGATTAGCTGATTAAACACAATTTAACATCCCTGGCACTAACAACCTGGACTTATTTTAAGCCACACAATTAACCTACATCACTGGAAAAAGATTGAAAACCACATTCATGGTAGACAGCTGAAGGAATTCCAGTGGATAATGTGACTAATGCAGTGTTTCCCAATTTTATTTGGCCACTGAACCCTTTTAAACTCGAAAGAATTTTGCGGAACCCCTAATAACAGTCTTATATATGGAGCTGAAAAAGTAGACCACAAATAAGTAAGGATAATAATAAATAAAAGCTTAACAAGGTCATGAGATCAACAAAAATGAAAATGGTTTTAAATAAAATTCATAAATGCTTAAATATTTTTTCCACTCATAAAATGTTATTGTAATGGAATTTTCTCACCGAACTCTTACTTTCACTTTGTGGAACTCCAGGGTTCCACAAAACACCATTTGGGAAACACTGGACTAAATGAGTAACTCCTCACATACAATGTGTTACCACAGTTACAAAACTACCGATGATAGGAGTATAGGTGCCAAACTGAATCAGACCAAAAGTCATCCAAACCAATGTCTCTAATGGTGTCCAGTTGCAGAGCTTCAGCTGGAGCATATAAAATAGGACAGTTGGAGAGATCCATCCTATTGTCTACTCTTGGCTGCCTGAAGTTTAGGGTTGTACCAAGCATGGGGTCACATCCCTGACTATCTTCATAGCAACTGATGGACCTAACCTTCAAGAAAAACTTATCCAGTTCTTTTTTCAATCCAGTTATA